TTACCCTGACGTCAGCAGGGGTAGCCTGTGGGGTCCACCCGCAAGCCCAGGACAGACACGATCCATAGTCCAGGCTAAGGCCGCACGGGAGCACTTAATCGAATGGAGGCGGGTACAGGGAGGTTTGGGGCCCCACAAAGAAAGACCAGGGCCATGACCTCTCTAGGACCACCGACAGGGAGCTGCCTCCCCATCTATCAACATCGAAGTCATGGCAGGCAAGTAGAGGCAGCGCTCAGAACCATCTAGGTGACCCCAAGTTGTGGTCTCACCCTGACATCGCTTGGGAGGAAGGCGCCAACCAAAAAGGGGCCGAAGCCTTACAACGCCTACCAGCAAGAGTCAGTTTAACCTAAATCAGTCAAATCTGATACTACATCCGTCCAGGTTTATCTTAAACCACTTTTGGCTGTTTTCAAAGCTGTTTCTGTGCACTGAACTTCTGTTGTGGTACAGATTTGAACCAGTTTCTGATCACTTTTACCATTTTTTTGTGTAATTACTATCCCTAGCCCAAATTACCAGCTCATTGTGTAGGTAGAATTTTTTTTTTCTTTTTAAGATGAATATTATGCAAGTCCTACTAAACAGTTTCCCCAGAATTTCTGCAGTACTCCAGGGTGTACTTAGCTGATGAAACAAGAGCTTTCCAGATAATTTTCCCTGGGTGAACTGTCAAAAAGAAGGTAGTTAAGCCAGAAAATGTACTTGGTATATCATCAAACCTGAGTTCCTGCAGTATGAGTCCCTAGAGAAAAATGACAAAAGCCCAGATAATTTCTTTATATCACACTCCATCAACTGTGAGGGTTCCTTATTACTCTGGCAGGAAGAAGAACTTGTGATCAGAGGCATGGGAAGGAATTAATACAGCTAAAAAAAGAAAGTATCAGCACCCTGATTGAGACCAAACACACCTCAGTAGCTGTTACCCAGCCCTCAGCTGCAGAATTTACTGGAATTAGCTAAAATCAAGTTAACTGGAAACCAGCAACAGCTAAGTGAAGACTGAGCCCCACCCTGACAGCTGCTGTTGCTGGCAGTGAACACAACATTGAAGACCGGCCTTGTTCACTGTGTCAAGAAAAGGGGAAGTTCATTTTGGTAGTTTGGAAGACTTTAAAAGACATACTTGTATTGCTGTATTTGGAGGGCTTTTGTAGCAAACTGATGATAAGAGTTCCTTTTAAAAGACTGTGCATCTTTCTTGAGCCACTTTGAAGGGAATGAAGTTTTACACTAAGCCTTTTATGTGGTAAGTAGTATCACCAAGGAAAGCAAAATATGTTTTTCTGACTGTGACAATATTTGTATTTATATATTTGTTTTGATCTTAAACTTTTACTTTTAAATGTTGGTGATATATCAGTTTTTTCCCTAAAATATTTTCAATTATTTGATAATTTATATAAAAATAAGCTGAAGATATATCTGTATATATGAATGGATATACAAATTTGATATACTCCTGCTCTCTCCTGATAAACATACACACACTTGATGTCTATATACGTATTTAAGTTTAACTTTTTAACTCAGAATTTCCCAAGTTTACATCGCTAGTTTTTAGATTATTTCAAAATTCTTGTATTATTATATACCATTTAAGTTACTGATATATATGTTCTCCCTTAACCCCAGCATAACATTTATTTTTATCTAGTAAAAATATGTTAACACAATCAAAATATCCTTTAAATGTTTTTTTTTCCTTCCACAAATAAATACTGAAATGCAGTATGTATATATATCACTATTTATACCGATACTAGAATGCAAAGTTCACCAGCAACCCTTAAAATGTATTAAGGTGTAATGATGTTATATATAGACATAGACTACATGACGATCAGATACGTCAGTTGATACAGGACAGTATGAGGTTGTAATTAAGATTTGCATTAATTTGTGAGTTTGAAGCTGGGGTATATATAATGGGGAGACGACAGTTTGAATTTTATAGAGCTTTGCAGTGTGTTGCCGATGACATGACAGCAGCAATGAATGCTGGAGGCCTTTTCTTTAATTTGGTATTTCAGTGTTTTAAGGGATAGGTGAATTGGCGATGTCTTCATGTCAACCTTACCTGTCATTTTTTGTCTGTGGTAACTATTATATATAGATCTATATACACATGCACAGAACTTTCATTATTAAAAGGTGATGATTTGCAAATGAGGGTGTTATATCCTTTGAAAGTCAAAAATACCCCTAGGTATTTTTCTTCTCTTCTGCTCTGACAGTTTCACAAAACTAGCTTTTAGAAACTTACTTTTTTAAGATTTGAATTTTACAAATCAATGTAATATATAGAATAATAAAAAGCCTGTTTGTTTTATTTATAGTTTTATCATGGTAGTTTTTAATTTATAGTTTCACTTTAAGATAAGGAGGCACGCTGAGGTAATTTATATTTGAGAAATTATTCTACTAAAAATAGATCCTGTTGACCCCCAAAATATAGTCCAAGCAACCAAGGTGATCTAGTAACTGGTTATAAGAAAACTTTAATAAAACTCTTAATCTGAAAATATCACAGGGGATTACACAACCGTACAATACCAGCAATTTAAAACAAAAATTGTGTTACTACAATTGCAACCAATCAAATGTTCTTAGATCTGGAAAAGTGATGGTTACAAATGATAATATAATTAAAAAATGAAAGATTTAATGAAACTAAAGTTAGAAACTTGGAAAAATTTCAAATAAAAATGTTTAAGAATCTGGAAAAAACACAGAAATGGTTATAAAACTAAAAGGAGAAAAAAATCCTGAAGAAGTGTATCTTAATACCCCAAATATACTAAGTTTTAAGGTTTTAAAATTACTAACGTGGTCACCTGTTAGGGAAACCTGCTTTATCCAAGTTTCAGAAACAGAGTCCTGAAAGCAAGGGTATCTAACATCCGCACATGGGTTCCTCTGCCCAAACAAGGTTTTGGTGCAAAGGGAACACCATCCGAAGACAGAAGCTCCTTTTTTATTAGCCAACTGAAGAAGCTAACATGCTTAGTGCTAATATAGAAAGTGAATCTTTTATTTTCTGTTCTATTGTTTTGCAGTTAAACTAGATACAGCTGGGTCAGATTGAACTCACATCCTTTCACTTCCCTGTTCTTGTCTCATAGCTCATCTTTTACCCTGGTCCTACACACCTCTCACCTGTGATGTTCCTTAAATTCCTTACATTTACCCATTCCTTAAATTTTATTTCCCTTAGCCTAACTGTTTGAGGTTTGCTTGTCCTGTCTTATCTTAATCTGTTACTAAAAAGCAGCCTAAAGTTTACTACGCATAAACCCACCTAACAGAAGGATTTTTTTAAAACTTACTTGATAAATTCGTGTTTTAGCCTGATGATTATAAAGGCAGAGATCGCTCAGTATATCAGAGCTGCAGTAAAATGTGATAGTTTGTTTGTAAAGGAATAGATTCAGGCCTGAAGTACATGCCCAAGAAGACAAGTAAGATCTTCTGTAGGCTTCAATCAGGGCTTCCCAGACCTAGATTCTGGGAATATTGAGGTCATGGACGTTATGTGCATACTTGCACTCCATTTTCTACACACACGGTTAACTCTGGAAGAGGGGAATCATAGAATCATAGAAAATGAGAGTTGGAAGGGACCACAGGAGATCATCTAGTCCAACCCCCTGCTCAAAGTAGGACCATCCCCAACTAGATCATCCCACCCAAGACTTTGTCTACCCATGTCTTAAAAACCTCCAAGGATTCCACAACCTCTCTGGGTAACCTCTTCCAGTGTTTAACTACCCTCCCAGTGAGAGAGTTTTTTCCTAATATCCAACCTAAACTTTCCTTGTTGCAACTTGAGACCACTGCTCCTTGTTTGGTCATCTGCCACCACTGAGGATGTATACAGAAGTTGCTTGTTCTGCCATTTAAAGTGTTTTATTGCCATGACTTAACAGAAGTGTATGACTTAATAGTACTTTAAAAATGGGTAGTGTTTTAAATTAACCCTTGTTAAATGAGGTATTAAATTTGAATTTTACAGAACTTGTACAGCATTTTAATACTGGTCACATTTCTGATCAGTGGAGAAGTCCCAGGAGAATATGGAGTGACCCTGGCCTCCCAGCGTGGAAAGTGCACAGAGGCTCAGAGGCCCCCTCCACCAAACACTACACTTATGTCATGTTTAAGACTGCTGTAACTTTATAGTGCTATTAAAAAGTGCTTTAAAATGCAGAGCTGTAAACATGCACAGAGTCAAGTTGATATACAGGGAAATAATTTACTGGAGACAGTGACTGGCCAATAAACAGAAGAGCCCCAGTTTGAAGTACAGCTTGCTGTAACTTATTGTGACATAGGTCAGCATGAAATCTAGTACTAGTAAAAATATTTATATTCTGGTTGCTGTCCAAATGAACTCAGCATGGGAAGGAGCACTGGCTACATTGTATCTTCCTCCTTTCCTGCAATCTGACAGAAGCTGTTTCTTGGGTGTATTTCAAAGCATGGGCTCTGCAAGGGAATCATGGAGGGGGTCCCATTTAAGAAAATGGACCCACGCCAGTGCAGACTTTAAATAATTTTAATGGAAATGCATGGTTTGCATGGGGGGCAGGAGGCATCATTTCCTTTACTTGTCCTCCTAGCCTCCCCTACCAAGAGGCTTCTAGCACTCTTATCTCCCCTGCCAACATTGACTACCCTGCTCTTCCACTATCTTCTTATTAAGGAAAGCAGTTTCCATTACTCTCACTCCCAAAACATAGGCAGACAGCAGGCAAAATATGCCACATGTGTCTACATGTTTGCGTATCCTTACGAGCAAACTAAGTGTGGGAAAAAAAATTGAGTTGAAAAGGAAGCAAATTGTTCCAATGAAACATTTTGACCCCAAATTTAAAAATGTTGTGTTGTTTTTAGGCCACTTAACTCTTTCTGAAACATTTTCTTTCCTTTCCCCTTTCCTAAATTTAGGCTAGTTTTTAAGCAAAAACATTTGTTTTGAAATGAGAAGTCAAATATTATTTTGAAGAGGTCAAAACGAAACGTGCCATTTTCCAATTTCCCTCTGTTATGTGCCAAATTCTACCCAAATTTAACCTCAGTGTCATCACAAACAATAAGTATATTGTTTGTCAAAACAAATTCACTGATTTCTAATCCCCACAGATCTCTTTGCATTAAGCAAAGTTACCTAAAACAGTGCTTTCTGCTATGCCTGTGTGAATAGGGAATTATTCAATTCGGATTCAGCCGACTCAGAGGACAGTGCTTCAATTCAGAGATTCGGATCACTGTCCTGAATCAATTCAGCTGAATTGGCTTTGGAAGATTCGGTGCTGATTTGGACAGATTCGGCGATTTGGATCGGCCGGGAAGAGGCAGGCACAGCTGGGTGGCTGTAGGTTCTCCCATGGCTCCTCTAGCTGTGCCTGCCTCTCCCTGGGTGGGGGGAGCCACAGGAGAAGCTCCCATGGCTGGCCTGCCCGGGCCCCGCCCCCCCGC